AAAAAAAAAAATCTAGAGACAACAGATGCTGGAGAGGATGTGGAGAAATAGGAGCGCTTTTACACTATTGGTGAGAGTGTCTTTGTAATCAGGTAGAGTGACTGATAAATCAGGAAATGATACCAGTATTACACAGAAAACATGTCAGTTCATATGTGCTTTTTCCTATCCAGGAGTTAAAACAGCAGAAGCAGAGAATTATAACCTCTGGCCAGAAGAAAATATGCCCTGGGATCTAGGGCTGCAAAGCGAGTTGTTTCAGCTGTTTTAAGAACCTTTTTTAGATGAACTGAACCCAGTGTACTCCAAACCTCTCCCATTACCCTGCTTGTTCTGCCTTAACATCAAACTCAGATACTGTGGAGCTTTTCAGTACCCTTAAAGACAAATGCTATACAAACAGCGAAGAACTCAAACGTACAGTTTTTTTCTAAATACATGTAGATATATAAACACATAATATCAAAAACTAAATTTTAAAAGTACATACCCATATATGCTGCCCAATGGATAGCACGCCTATCTTTCTTGTCAAAAGCATTAATATTGGCACCTCTAGACAAGAGTAATTTGACCATCTGGAATAAAAGTAAACACAGTGTCATCAAAATTGTGAAGTACAATTGTCTATGAATGTACATTTGTGACAGTTACTCATCTCAATTTCTCTGGCAACAAATGTCTGCCGTTATAGAACAGAAGGAGCTAGACTAAATACTCAAGGTCATTTAACATAGTAACAGGACAAAATATGAAAAAACAGTTAACTGTGGGTATTAGTGAAGTCAGGCATCAATACCTTTTTAGGATGCCACTTTGTGCTTGGCATTTTATGAACTAAGTACAAATCTGGAAAATCTAAAGCTGAAATATTTAATAAGAGGTTTTGATTCTATTCACTGTCTAAAATGTTATTAAAATACAAAGTGCATTCTTATTCTATAAATGTCTTAAACTTAATTCAAACACAAACACAGTACCTACAATATAATTAGACCTGGAGGTCTCTGCATAGTCTGCTTACCTCACAATGTACCAAGAATAATAATTGCACCTAACCATATTTACAATCATTTCTTGACTGGAAGGCTACTGCAGATTTCAAATAGGGATACACCTGTAACCTTAACCGCAGTGGAGGCAAGGACTCTTTATAAAATCAGAGAAGTACAGTAGTCTTCCTTTATCTACAGTTCCACTTTCTGCATTCAATTACCTGCAGTCAACCATAGTCTGAAAATAGGTGACTACAGTACAGTGACAATAAGATATTTTGAAAGAGAGACTACATTCATGTAACTTGTATTACAGTATTTGTTAAAACTGTTCCATTTCATTATCTCTTACTGTGCCTAAATTATAAATTAAATTTTATCATGGGTATGTACAGAAAAAAAACATAATATCTATAGGGTTTGGCGCTATCCAATGTTTCAGACATCCATGGGGGTACAGAAACATATCTTCTGTAGATAAGTGGAACTACTTTGAAAAAGACATGACAGCCACTAGCTCCCAGTCACAGAACCTTGGGAATGTTGCTTTACCTATGAGTTCCTGTCCCTGAAACAAAAATGAAAGACTAGGTAAGCTGGCTTCAAAGGTTCTTTTCTTCTGTTACCTTCTTCCCTAAATATTCAATGTATACATAAACCCCAACCTTTGTTATGACAACACCTAGCACAGACATTTGCTGTATAAGATAGCTAAATAGCAATTTTCTTAAATTGTTTTGATAGTTCTGTCACTAAAGGATTCTTTTGACTAAGGGTTGATAATAAACTACTAAAAAGAATGTTTTCTAAATTCTGCCTTCCTTTGCTATTTACTATACACTTCTGGAAGAACAATAACATATCTCTGTCTTCACATATTTTTCCTCCCACAATAATAAAACATACTTTTCCTGTTGTATTAGAGTTGGTAATGTTCTCGTTGGTCACCCCAGGTTGACTGTATAAAAGTAGTATCTACTAAATAGATTTCTAAACTTGAGAAAGTTATATCCTAAAGGCAAAATCAGACAAAAATAACAAAGATAAATAGTTCTGTATGCTTTTACTATGCATGAATGAAAGTTCTTTAATAAATGGTATGGGGGGGAGACAGAAGAAGAGAAAAATCACTGTCTAATTGCCACCTACCTCACCATGTCCACTGAAAGCTGCATGATGTAATGCAGTTCTCCCTGCTCGATCAGACACGTTTACATTACTCAGAAGAGGTACCAAAGCTTCAGCACACTTTACAGCTTTATTAGCAGCAGCTATATGTAAAGGGGTTTGCCAATTTTTGTCTCGAGCATTAACATCTGCAGAATGTTTCAAAAGTACCTGAACTGCTTCCTAAAACATGTGGAGATAAAAGTTAAAAAAGACAAATGAGTGAAGAGTTTAAGAAGTTACTTCTATATATAGTGTGTATCTGTGTGTTTGTGTATAATTATGTATCTACATATGAAGAAAATAAAAAAGCTCTCAAAGAACTCACTATAAACAAGTAGAAATTTACCCAAGGAAACAAAATAGTTTGAATGTAAAGGCAATACTCAGAGTACTCAGAGCAATATAAGATGCATCAATATCAAACTCCCTTTCCAAACTACCCTACCATTAAATGCATAAAAATTGCTATCAAAAAGTACAAGAAGAAATACTAACAACTATTATTCAAAAACATTCATTTCCTGTATATTATTTTTCTAGGTAACTAAATACAATTTATATTTTTCAATAGTTTTTGTTTTTAAGAGACAGGATCTCGCTCTGTTGCCCAGGCTAGAGTGCAGTAGGGCAATCATAGCTCACTGTAACTTCAAATTCCTTGGCTTAAGCGATCCTCCCACCTCAGCTTCTTGAGTAGCTAGGACTACAGGTGCGTGCCACCCCTCTGGCTAATTTTAAAATTTTTTGTAGAGACAAGGTCTTCATATGATGCCCAGGCTGGTCTCAAACTCTTGGCCTCAAGTGATCCTCCTGCCTTGGCCAAAGTGTTGGGATTACAAATGTCAGCCAGTTGTAGAGCCATATGTGGCTCTTTGAATAATTTTACGGAATATATTTATTACTTTACATTGCATATATAAAAATTAAAAACATACTATTTCTCAAAGTATTATACATGCTATATTTCACAAAATGAAAAATCACTAGGATTGATTTCACTGGAAAAAAAAAAAAAAAGACATAACATATGCAAGGCTGTTTTTGCAGTGCTGCTTAGAGAGAAAGTTAAGGTAATATAAGAGTCTACTGTCCAAGGGGTTTATCTCCCAGAAGCACATGGAAAACCTCACAACACTACCTCTATAAATTGGACTCATGGCAGGATTCCAAGGAATTCAGTATGCCATCAACATTAAGCAGCATAATCAGAGCTAAACTTAGCAAAATTTTTTTCCTTTCAGCGATAATCCTATATTTTGGTAAATGGATGCCAAATTACATATGAAAATGAAAAGTACCAAAACCAGAAAAGAATCTGGGTTCTCATCTCAATTCTACTATTTACAAGGTATACTACTGAAGTTCTATAAAACTAATCCTAAATGTTCTTACCTGTAAAGGAGATGGGGTTGGGGGAAATAACATCTGCCTACCACTCTTTTCAAGTATGGTATAAAGCACAATAAACTAATGTACATGAGAAGCGTTAGAAAGCGAAAATAGCTATAAATATACAGAGCATCAAGGAAGACTCAACAAGATACTATTAGTTATGAATCACCCACAGCCTTTTTTAGGCCTCTGAAATAAAAAGTAGTCAGAACTGTTTGAAACATGGAAATAGCACCAGTACTTAATAGGGTTGGCAAAAGACTGAAATGATGCCCAGTTATATATCATATTGCTAAGGAAGTCAGCCAGCTAATCAAAGATATACGGAGGCCTATGACTCCACAATTCCACAACAGTGATTTATCCAAAAGAAACTTAAAAAAAATTCATCCAAGAATGCTCATAGCAGTTTTGTTCCTAACCACCAAAAACCAGAAATGCAAATGTCCATCAATAGAAAAACACATAAACAAACAGTACATCTGTACTACATACTCAGCAATAAAAATAAACCAATAATGCATGAAACATGGATAAATATCAAAAATGCTGAACGAGAGGTCATGACAAAAGAATACATATTGTATGATTCAATTTTTATAAAGTTCTAGAATAGGGAAATTATGCTGAGAGAAATAAGAATAATGGTTGCCTCTGGAGACAGGGAAGACTGACTGAAAAGGAACATAAGGGAACCTGCTGGGGTAATAGAAATCGCTATTTCTTGAATGGGATAAAGGTTACACAGGTGTATACATTTGGCAAGTCTTAAGGGTGTACACTAAAAAAACCATACATTTTAAATCTAAGTTATACTTCAATTTAAAAAGGAATATAGAAAGAACACATATAAGAATACTCACAAAATTATTAAAAACAAGGTATAAGCACTATCAAGATTCCTGATCCTAACCTCTAAGAAGAGTACATTGTGATTTGGGGGTTCTAAAACTAACACTATATTGGGAAATGTTAGTAGGTATGTTAGTGAATGTAACAAATAACTTAAAATTAAAATGAAGAATTTGTAATTGGATAAACTGGGCAAACACAGAATACTAGAGATGTCAGCCTTGCCTTATTTCATTTTGGAACTCACAATATAAACATTAAAGCTTCTGGAAAGTTTGGGAAATACTTATGTTACATTAGTAATAACAGGAAAATCAAATCTACTTTTTTGTTTCACTAAAAAGCAAGAATAAATCTGGTTCATAGTAGGTGACAGTAGGTAAGTGGGAACCTAAAGAAGACAATAAACACAGCAATTAAGACACCAGAGTATCAAGACAGATCAAGGTGTGAACCGAGTCCACTATTTCCTACTCAGAGTAATACATGTCAGATCGTAACAGCAGTGATCTTTAAAAACTCAGAGAAAGCTGAAGAAAATCCCTAAAGGCTGGAGACATTAAAAAAGAGGTGAATTTCTAGAACTACAAATCAAAGAGCCTGATGTCATACCTTAGTATAATTCTACATCATATTATCAGCGTATCATAAGCACACAGAAAATAATGTGGGGATAACCAAGGGCACAGATGATTTTATTAACAAAAATATTATCACAGTAATCTAAATTTTCAGTTATTAGAGGATATGTGTAGGAAGTGCTGCTAGTGTAACTTGATTTTTTTTTTAAAGCCAAGTAAATATTCCATGACATTAATTCAAATGAGATTATGAAATACGGGATAATGACTAAAGATTAAACAACTGTACTCAAAGAGTATTTATTATCATGGGGTCAGTATAGAAGAGGCTCCACAGTACCAGTTTTCGCTTTTGGTTCTATCTTTTTTTTTTTTTAAGCAATTCTTACCATTGATTTGAAGGCAAGCACAGGAAAAACAAGGGCTTAACATATTTGCAAATAAACACAAACCTCAGAAATACCAAACAATATCTCATATGATAATAGAATTTAAACTCAGTTATCTTGACAGACCAAAAACGTTAATTCCTGATTAGGTTAAAAAATAAGTTGTATGCCCTCCAGTAGTGTGATATGGCTTTCAGAAACACACACACCTCCTAAAAAACACTCCTACTACTTGGATATCCATTTATTCAGAAAAATATGCAGCACTTACACAGAGCTGAACCACATGGTACTCTTAAGGAATGACAGTCACAATCATAGTAGTGGAGACAGACTGAGGCAGCCAGCTAGCAGAAGGAGGTATGGAAACCAAGTCACTGAAGAAGAGTTGGGGAGTCTGGGATATTTAACTTGAAGCAGTCTTAACCTAGGTTCAGTCAGAGAATTAAGCCCTACTGTATGTGCTAAATTAAATTCTCTCCTATGCACCTACCACTATGCTAGCTATACTGTCCTTAGGATAATTTAGAAAATAGTCACTCCAATCAGCATGCGTAGGATTTAGTTCCCCCATGGTATCCCAAAAATATAAACCAAAAGCTATCTAAGATTTAAAAAACCCATCTCTTTACATATCTCTCTGTGGCCATAGCTATATTTTCTGTTAAACGTATAAGTATCACTACTTTTGCTCTCAGGATGTAATGAAAATAAATAAAAGAACAATGGTGAAAGTGATACTCTTGACTAGGTTTTCTAGCAGTTTTACCAATTAGGAGATTTTTTTCAAAAGAAAAATGAAACTCAGTGTTTACAGAAGTTGTATCTTTTTGGAACAGCCACATTTTTATAGCTGTTTCTCATAATCCTGCAAAAGAGTTATCAATACTACACATAGCCTTGTAATTTTTAGTTATTTCTTTTTCTTTTCTTTCTTTTTTTTGAGGTAGAATTTCGTTCTTGTCACCCAGGCTGGAGTGCAACAGCATGATCCTGGCTCACTGATACCTCTGCCTCCCAGGTTCAAGCAATTCTCCTGCCTCAGCCTCTGGAACTACAGGCGTGCACCACCATGCCTGGCTTATTTTTGTGTGTGTGTATTTTTTGTAAATTTAGTATTTTTGTATTTCATATTTTCACCATGTTGGCAAGGCTGGTCTTGAACTCCCGACCTCAGGTGATCCAACCACCTTGGCCTCCCAAAGTACGAGATTACAGGCGTGAGCCACTGTGCCTGGCCAATACCACATTTTCTTTATCCAGGTGTTAACTGATGCACATTTGGGCTGGTTCCATATTTTTACAGTTGCAAATTATTCTGCCATAAACATGTATGTACCAGTATCTTTTTCTTAAAATGACTTCTTTTCCCACCTAGTAGTGTGATTGCTGGATCAAATGGTAGATTTCGTTCTTTAAGGAACTTCCATACTGTTTTCCACAGGTTGTACTAGTTTACATTCCCACCAACCGTGTAAAAGTGTTCCCTTTTCACTGCATCCAAACCAACACTATTATTTTTTGACTATGGTCATTCTTGCAGGAGTAAGGGTATCACTTTGTGGTTTTTACATTTCCCTGATAATTAGTGATGTTGATTATTTTTCCATTTTTGTTGGCCCTTTGTATATCTTCTTTTGAGAAGTGTCTATTCATGTCCTTAGCTCACTTTTCTTATGGGATTCTTTTTTTTCTTGGTGATTTTAGTTCCTTGTAGATTTTGGATATTAGACCTTTGTCAGGTGTATAGATTCCAAAGATTTTCTCCTACTGTGTGGGTTGTTTGTTAATGCTGCTGATCATTTTCTTTTGCTTTGCAGAAGCTTCTCAGCTTAATTAAGTCCCATCTATTTATCTTTTTTTTTGTTGCATCTGCTTTTGGATTCTTGGTCACAAGTCTTTGCCTAAGCCAATGTCTAGAAGGGTTTTTCTGATGTTATCTTCTAGAATCTTTATGGTTTCAGGT